AAAGATTTTATTTATTTATTTGACAGAGAGAGACACAGCGAGCGAGGGAACACAAGCAGGGGGAGTGGGAGAGGGAGAAGCAGGCTTCCAGTGGGGCAGGGAGCCCGATGTGGGGCTCGATCCCAGGACCCTGGGATCACGACCCGAGCTGAAGGCAGACGCTTAATGACTGAGCCACCCAGGCGCTCACCCCCTCCCCCCAAGACACTTTTCCCAATGATTGAATTGTCCTCTAGAATCTTTAAGGACAAGTTGAAGTTTGGGGAACAAGTTTTCTAAAGGTGAGTAGTATTAGGTTGTTGTCTTCCCTAGATCATCTGAGAAGCTTCTTTTCATTCGTGGACTATATGGAACTTTATCTCCCCCTGCCTTTGTTTCTGCCTCCTAAATGCCCTTTCTTGATCTTGAAATGCCCATCTCTAAGAGACAACTTCTGACTGTCCAAGCTGAATCTGATGCTGGGGTCAAGCCACAGAGAGAGATTTGCAGGTGTGAAGCATTAAAGGAAGCTAAATGCAAAAGAGGTGGAGCTGAGCTCCTAAAAGGACTTTGGAAAGTGCAGTAGACCCCCAGCCAAAGTATATTTGAGTTCCTTGTGATAGATTCCATTTAATTTTGTTAGTTTGAAGTCTTCCGAAGAAGACTTTAGGGACAATGACCTAGAGAAGCATTGAAGTTTTTGGCTGGGTGTAACTGATTCAAATCAAAAGCCTCTGTCCTATTATTTCAGCCATATAAAATGTTGATTTGGCACTGAAATACCCAGCAACAGGAATTCCAAGATAACACGACTGCAGCCAACCTGGTTGTGATAAAGACATGGTTTTTGAGAGAAACGAAGACCCATGTGCTAACACCCCTCTGGTATTGAGGAAGATGAATTAACAGATGGCAGAGCCCAATTGCTAATGAGGAGGAGCAAGGAATGACAGGGTAGCCAGTTCAAGAAACTAGACAACTCCAAAACTTATATTCTGGCTTCAGTATATCGTAACACAGTAACGATTTTACTTTTTTAATTGGGCTTATGAAGGTCAATGTAAAGCTCATTTTCCTTCACTGAGTGCACCCTGGCTTGGTTGGCTAAAAAGTTGGACATGCTGGCCTGCAGGAAAAAGAAAAAAACAAAACAAAACAAAACAACCAGTCAGGGATTTCAAACTAGCTATGGATGATCCACAAATCGGTGGGTGGGCCAGTTTATATTTCCTGCTGACTGCTTGGAATCACAGGATGCTGGAGGAAGACCTTTGCCGCAGACATCACCCTCGCCAGATGAGGAAAGCAAGGCCCATGGAGGTGAAGAAACCAATCTAAGAGCACACAAACTATGTAGGATAATCTGGGTTCTTGGGAGAATTGTTCTTGCTGGATGCCATCCTGCCCCTGCAATTACATGGTCATTCCTACCACAGCACTTTTCAAGACAGGTTGGCATATTATAGGAAGTACACTGAGTTCAGGATCTGAGGACATGGGACTGATTCCTTCTTCCCCCCTCTGTCACTTCACCTCACTGAACCTCTCAGTTTCTTCATCTTTAGGAACTGGGGGGCACTTGGGTGGCTTATAGTTAAGCCTAGGACTCTTGGTTTCAGCTCAGGGTTGTGAGATCCAGCCCCACGTTGGGCTCCACGCTTAGCACATGGAATCTGCTTTAGATTTTCTTCTCCCTTGGGGCGTCTGGGTGGTGCAGTCGGTTAAGACTCTGACTCTTGGTTTTGCTCAGGTTGTGATCTCAGGGTTGTGAGATCAAGCCCCACTTGGAGCCCCAGGTGGAGCCCCACGTAGGGCTCCTCACTGAGTGCAGAGTCTGCTTGGGATTCTCTGACCTTCCCCCTGCTCTCTCTCTCTCTCAAATGAATAAATCTTTAAAAAACGGATTTTCGGGGCGCCTGGGTGGCTCAGTTGGTTAAGCGACTGCCTTCGGCTCGGGTCGTGATCCCAGTGTCCTGGGATCGAGTCCCGCATCGGGCTCCCTGCTCGGCAGGAAGCCTGCTTCTCGCTCTCCCACTCCCCCTGCTTGTGTTCCTGCTCTCGCTGTCTCTGTCTCTGCCAAATAAATAAATAAATAAATCTTTAAAAAAAATAAAATAAAAATAAAATAAAAAAAATTAAAAAAGGATTTTCTTTTCTGTCCCACCCCACATTCTCTTTCTTTCTAAAATAAATAAATCTTTTTTAAAAATAGGAATTATTATACATCGTGGGGTTGGTATGGTAATTATGAGGATAGTCAAATAATGAATGTGAAAGCAGGTTTTAAAAACAGTAAATGCCATCACATGTTAAGTAATATTATTCCAAACAGCACTTGGGCCTCTATAATGACACATGCCAATTTCTGTCTAGAAATATAATTAGTTGCTTATTCCTCCTTGGGGGACGCCCTCCTCACCCTGAACTACATCACAACCTACTGCAGGGGGACTGCCTTTCTTACTTTTATCTGTTTCCCTCCAGTCCCTGTCAGAGTTCCTTTGATATAGTGACTGCTTGAGCAGTCCTTCTTGAACTGGATCACTTAAACTACAAATATTGTCTTGGACAAACTTTCTTTTTTCTACCACTGTTTTTTACTGATTGAGAAAATTTCAAGTGACTGAACTTTTTTTTTTTTCCAACCAGAGACACTAAGATACACAATGTGTGGTTACCAAAGACTTGACATTTTAATGGTGCCACATTTTTATATAAATGTGAGGAATCCAGATTCAGATGTAAGAAATGTCACAAACTGGAAACAGCTGAAGAAGCAAGTTTTATGAAATCTGTTTAATGTCACTAAGGGTGAAATAAGAGAAAAAGGGAACAGATCTATGGATTGTTGAAGTCCACATTGGTGCGCTTGTGGTCCCTTCTAGGATTTCCTGGAGCCCTACAGACTCTTATTCACCACCCACATACACATATATAAAAATATACCATCTATAAATAGCCACCTGCCTTTTCAGTGAAATTAAAGAGGAGTTAGAAGAGAGTTTCCCAGTATAATTACAGGGCTCAAACCCACAGCTTCTGTACTAGTGTTCTACCCAGAGAATTTCCAATATCACTACTTTTTTTTATCAAGCACGCTTAAAAATTTCTTTAATGGCAAAATGTTGTCAACAGGACGTTTATTTATTGCCATGATCTCTCTTAGGTGTTGCGTCGGGTTATTGTGTAAATAATTTTGTTTTATCAAGTACAGAAAATGTTCACAAGTGTTTCTGCTCTTTATCTAGGGCTTAACACCAAACTGCTGCCAATGTTTTCCTTAAAATCTACACATGCCCTTTCACAAACAGTCTCCCTCATATTTTCTGCAAAGATGTGCCTCTTTAAAAATCTGTGAGCTTCTCAAATTCTTAGGTAAGAATCAACCGTGTAAGGACGCACCCCAACGTGGAAGGAATTAAACCGAACACTTTTATCTTTGCTTACAAAAAAGCAGGTAGTAATTTATTCATACCCAGGCTTTGTTCCCTCACTAAAGACCAACGCTCTTCAATCTTTGAGCGCCCTGAAGGATGAGGCAGCTCTGACGACGAGAGGAAGGGGACACATTTATAGGAGCCGTCACACAGCTCTCCCCACACAAGGGTCTAAGTGCCTTTAGCAGTTAATTTGTGAGCAAAAAACTCCATTGGGAGCCTTCCACCTACTCTAAAAGCAAACATTCTTAACAGGCGGTATTAGTGTGGTGTTAAAAAGAGGCATGCTTTCACCTAAAAGGTGTCATTTTATGAGCAAAAACTGGATAAACCTAAAGAGACTTTAAGTCGCTATTTTTTTCCTTCCCTGATGCCCAAATCTTCACAGGTCAAGATGACCTCACACCCACTGTTCCAAACCCAGGAGGATCTTTTTTTTTTTTTTTTTTAAAGATTTTATTTATTTATTCATGAGAGACAGAGAGAGAGAGAGAAGCAGGCTCCCAAGGAGCAGGGAGCCCAATGTGGGACTCGATCCCAGGACCCTGGGATCATGAACCCAGGAGGATCTTAAAAGATGCTCTGCAGAGTGCAGTGGCGAGGCCTCCTCCTCCTGGTGAGAACTCTCACCGGCGTTCCTTCTGCGTGTTTGCAACACACACCAGCCCTGTGAGCACACCTGTTAATTAAAACGAAAACACAACTGTTTCTGTGGAGCTTTAGAAGTACAGAAGCTGCGAGCCGAAGCCAGGAAGGAGAAACAGCAGTGTCCAGTCGGCTGCTGGGTCTTGATGGCTGCCCAAGAATGAAGCAATGGTTAGGAAAAGCCAGGAAACAGGCACCTGAATTAAAGAAGAGAAACGAGTGGGGGAGGGGGGAAGCGAGTGAGGCTTGGAGTTGGAAGTATTTAGAATGCCTTTATCATTTCCCCGAGGGACTGTTTAATATCAAAGTGCCTGGGTAGGAAGGCTTCTCAGTCTAATCTGATTCCAAAGTTAGCCTCTCCGAAAAGAGAGAAAGAATAGCTTCAGTGGCTTGAGGCCATCCTGGGGTCAGGCTGGAGTCTATTCCTGCCGGAGCTGCTGAGTCACTGCCACCTCAGGAAATCACTTGACCTCTGGTTCAGTTGACCTAGAAGGTAGAGTGAAGCCTACAGCCGAGAAGGCTCCATTCGAAAGGCCCTTGCTGTTAACTGGAACCCTCTACTGACTTCCCAGCCATGTGAACCCAAAGGATTTAAGAATGAACAAATTAGGTGAGGTGCATTAGAATACAAAAACATCAATTAAGAAAAGAAACACAGACAAACAAAACAAACTCACTTAATTCTTCCCAAGGAAAACACCACCAGAAAAGCAGACCAAAAATATCTTCTGGTCCTCTTTCAAATATGGTCTGCATCTTGGAAGGGTGGTAAAAACATGGATCAGAGAGCGCCTCTCTTAAAGAGATGCCTATTCTATCCCCTTCCATAAGTTATCCAAAGCAGGATGTGAAAAGGCTTAGGCGTGTGTGGGAAAGGTAGTGGGGTGGTAGGCAGGAAGCACCAATAACAGAAAAAAAAAACAACTAAAGGACGGATAAGGCATTCATTACACTGTATTTTAAAAGGCAAGGAGAAGACTTCAGTAATATAGAACATCTACATGAGGGACAGATCCAATGGTGTTCCTCCACACCTTCTTTTCATAACACAAAGTTCTGTTCTTTGGCTTAAAGATCTATAGGAATTGTCAACTAAATAAACGTTCGCTTTGTATTAAAAAAATTTATTTTGTGATCTGTACATGTGATAAAGTGGGGCTTCCTTGTAGACTTTTAAAGGCAAAACAAAACAAAAACCCAAAAGTAAAAATGTATAAATACAATATATATTTTCTTACAAAAATGGGAGATTTACAAAATATACATACTGCACTTGTCTCTATTTTACAAATTTCACATGCAAGAGATACAACACAAAAGATGCCAGAAACTGTGTGGTGGGAGTTTTAAATCTGACAAATGAGACCATTTTGGAGGTTTAAGAAACACAAGGTCGATGTTAACTTTAATATAAAAAGCAGCTCCACTCAAATGAACATTACATATATAAAGTAACTTGTACTCCTGACAGTACCCTCTATGATTTAAAAACTATTTAAAACAGCATTTAAAAATTGTTTTGAGAAACAGGATAGTGTTGCAAGATTGGAGGGTGGTGTCAAAGGTGGAGTAAAGGTTAGCTCCCATGATTCTCTGCTCAGCTTTAGAGCATTATGCAAAAGAATCAGTTCTATTATAGAAAAAAAAGTACATGATTTAAGATTAATAAATTTAAGTCATGCAGCACATTTCAAAGAACTCCAGAATTACTTTGAAGCTTACCTTCTTTTAATGACTTTCCTTAAAAAAAGGGACCCATGGTTTAAACTGTCCGCTTCATTCACTGTCATTTCTGCAGGTCACCTCCCCACGCAGCCACACAAAGACAGGGTCAGCATACACATGCTGTCTTATAAACGGATTTATGGAACTAAGAAAACAGGACAAAATGGTTCTTTACTTTTTAAAAAATTTAACTTCTTTATTATGGAGGCTGAGGGCATTACGCTTTACCTTTAACCTTGAAGGATTCAAATGGGAAGAAAATAGAAAACCTAAATGCAGGTTTATAGGAAGAAAAAAATAATAAAGGGAGAGATTTCCCTGAACATTTGAACAGAGCCTGTAGATAGGATCGTGTGTTCTGAATTAAATTTATTTAAAACAAATACAACAAAACCCCTTGCATTTCCTTTAGCCAAGTCAGAACCTCTGACTGACTGGGGGTATGGAAGCACACTGCCGTTCACTTTTCCTTAAAAAGGAATGTTTATCTCAGCCAAATTAACATCCAAAGGGAAACCTCTGATTTGTGCTACTTTGCCTATAAAAGTTGCTGTCTTCACAGTTATGCCTTTCCACAGGGGAGACACTTTTGTTTCCTCTTTTGTCTCTTACAACAAAGACAAGGGGAAAAATGCAATGCACTCCTGTTTTGAAAAGCAACAAGTCATCACTTCTTTTCAGAGTATTAAACCAAATAAAACACCTTCTTCCTTCTGCCTTCCCCAGAAAATAAAAAAGTAGCAGAAATACCTACTACTCATCTCCTTTGCCTCATCTCGAAATGTTATCTTCATTTCTTTCGCATCCTCACATTCTAGGAGGCGGGCCTCCCAAGACTTCCAAATGCTTATTTTACAAGACTTGAAAGGACCAGGAGAGGAAAAACAGGCGGGAGGGGCCAAGCGAGGAGAGACTGTAATGTCTGACCCTGGAAATTAACCCATCTGGGCTCCAGTTTGGCCCCAGTGAAAAGAGATTATGGTTTGACCACCGCTTGACAAGGACACCGCAGGGAGTCCTCCCTTTTCCCAACAAAGCCTCCGCCGCAGACAGAGCTGTACCTTTCACCCGGGCCTCACAGGAGTGAGGACAGGCCACTTGTCTTGCAGCAGGGGAATCGCTCACAGTCCCAGTTCCGCCCTGGAGCCGGGAAGAACTCAGAGCCATCTCTGCTGGGCTCAATCTCGATTAGGCCCAGGTCGGCCTGTACCGTACACGATTAACATCATCGTTATCATCATCATCATCATCATTATCTTCCCGCAGGTCTTTGCCGAAGTCTTTTCATCCAAATCGTCTTTTCACCCAGGCCTCCTTTTCCAAACCCACCCCTCGCCCCAAATCTACAAATATCATCTCTCTTCCAGGTCACTTCTCATTGGAGGGGGTGGAGGTTACAGGACCCCCCCCCCCAGCAGTTCTCTCCTTCCCACGCCTCTCCCCCTGCTAGGGGATGGGGGAAGGGAGGGTGGGGGAGGGGCCGGGGCTCATACCGCAGTTTCCCCCTTGCTGCTGTGGCTGAGTCTGTGGTAGAAGCGGCGCCACGACTGCAGAGTCTTGCCAGACCAGATCCAGAAGCCGGTGGTGATGCCCACGATCATGGTCATCAGGTACTTGATCATGAAGACAGTGAAGTCGGGGCTCATGGGCGGGAAATGGCCAGGCGGGCAGGGCACCGCGTAGCTCTTGCACGTCTGCAGGAGCCAGGTGCGCTCCCAGTGTTCGCGGAAGGCCTGCTCATAGAAGTAGCAGGCCAGGACGATGGTCGCCGGCACCGTGTAGAGCACGCTGAAGACGCCGATGCGCACCATGAGCTTCTCCAGTTTTTCCGTCTTGGTTCCGTCGTGCTTCATGATGGTGCGGATGCGGAAGAGCGACACGAAGCCGGCCAGCAGGAAGGACGTGCCAATGAAGAGGTAGACGAACAGGGGCGCCAGCACGAAGCCCCGCAGCGCATCCACGCTGGACAGGCCCACGTAGCACACCCCACTGAGCAAGTCCCCATCCACCTGGCCCATGGCCAAGATGGTGATGGTCTTGACAGCGGGCACGGCCCACGCGGCCAGGTGGAAGTACTGCGAGTTGGCTTCGATGGCCTCATGGCCCCACTTCATGCCGGCTGCCAGGAACCAAGTGAGCGACAGGATGACCCACCAGATGGAACTGGCCATGCCGAAGAAGTACAGCACCATGAAGAGGATAGTGCAACCCTCCTTCTTGGTGCCCTGCGCCACCGTGCGGTAGCCATCGTCTGAGAAGCGCTCCACGCACACGGCGCGGTCCTCCAGCAGGAAGCCGGCCACGTGCGCCACGGCCACCATGAAGTAGCAGCCGGACAGAAAGATGATGGGCCGCTCGGGATAGCTGAAGCGCCGCATGTCCACTAAATAGGTGAGCACGGTGAAGAGCGTCGAGGCGCAGCACAGCACCGACCACACGCCCACCCAGAGACGGGCAAATCGCCTCTCCTCCTCCTTAAAGTACATTAGGCCGTTGGCACGGCCTGGCTCGCACGGGGCTCCGCAATCGCGCTCGCCCAGGAAGCGGTAGCCCAGGTAGGGGGGCACCTTGAGCTGGCGGGGGCACGAGAAGGGGAAGGCAGAGCGGCCCCTGCCGTCAGCGGCCCCCGGGGGCAGCGCGGTGTACGGCAGGTCCGGCATATAGGGCGCTGTGGGGTAGGCTGTGGGGCCGCCGCCCGGGCCCCCGGAGCCGTCGGACGTGTTCTGGCCCACGCAGATCTCGCCCGCGCCGTGCACCGGGAAGTTCTCACAGCGCAACCGCTCGGGCCACTGGAAGCCGAACTTGTTCATGAGCGCTTCACAGCCCTGGCGGGCACGCTCGCACAGAGAGCGGCACGGCGGGATGGCCTGATCCAGCACGGTGCACACGGGTGCGTACATAGAGCACAGGAAGAAGCGCAGTTCGGGAGAACATTGCACCTTCACCAGGGGGTAGAACTGGTGTACCTCGAGGCCCGCGTCCTCTTGATTCGTGTGGCCTAGCAGGTTGGGCAGGATGGTCTGGTTGTAGGCAATGTCCGTGCACAGCGGGATGGAGATGGGCTGGCAGAAGCCGTGGTCCGGCACCGAGATCCCCTTCTCGCCGTGGTAAGGCTGCGCCCCGGCGCCGGCAGGCAGCGCGCCCAGCAGCACAAGCACCAGGGTGCACAGGCCCAGGGGCGAGTGCGACGCGGCCGCGCCGGGGCCCCGCATCGCCGGCCACCAGTGCAGCGGCGCTCTCAGCCCGAGGAGCGCGACGAGGCAGCCGGGAGAGAATTGGATCCGAGGAGGCGCGGTCGCGCCGGGCGCATGAGAGTCCTCCCGGCGCCGGGGCCGGGCCGTGGGCGGCGCGGAGCTGAGGGCGCTGCAGCTGGGGTACCCGCGCCGCTGCCGTCTCCGCCCAGCCCTCTAGCAGCCGCGGGGAGCCCTAACTCGTCTGCTTGGGTCGGGGGCGCTGAGAGGGGCCGCCTTCTTCTCCCGCTGCGACGTAACGGTGCGGCTTTTTCTGCGGCGAGGAGCAACAAGCGTCTCCGGTTACCCTTCAAAGTTTGCCCAAAGTCTGTCGACCCACAGCGCACAGTAACGCACGCGCCCCCTACACCAAGTCCGGCCCCCGGCAGGCGAGAGCCCGGCGCCGCCGCCTGCTAGCCGAGGCCGCCGCCTCGGCCGTGCTGCTCCGCCTCCTCGCCTCGAGGCTCTCTCGCCGCCGCCTCCTCCTCCTCCTTCGCCTCCTTTTCTACTCCCCCGCTCCTTCTTCAGCCCCAAAAGTTCGGCCCCCAAGTTTCTGCCAAACGGGTGATTCTCGCTGAGTCCGATCGGGGCCTTGGAGCCAAGAGCTCAGCGAGTTCTTTTTGGAAATCCAGTTACACTGCGTCCGAAGCTGCGAGGGCCCGGTGGCCGCGGCCTGGGCCTGGCCTCTCCAGCCTTGCGAAGCCCTGGCCCGTGAGTCCCGGCGCCCGCCGCCGCCGCCGCCGCCCGCCGGGAGGGAGCGAGCGCAGAGTAACGCTTCGGAGTAGTGCAACTCGCCAGAAGAAGCGTCGGGCTCGCAAGGTTCCGGGCCGCCCCGCCCCCTCCCCTCCCCCCATTCACAAACCACTCCGGGGGCGGGCCCTCGAGCTCCAGGGCGGCCCAATGGTAGCCTTTGTTTTCTGTGTGGCGGCCTCCGGATTGGGTGGAAGTCGGAAAGGCCGGGCGAGGGAACTGGAGAGGCGGAGTCTGCAGCGCTCTGGGCGGATTCCTGAGGGGAGGGGCAGGGGGCCGGGACGGAAAAGTTAAGAAAAACTTTTACGGTGAATTCGCTCGAGGGTTGGGGGGGTGGGTGGTAAACGCACCAGAAAGGGAATTTGCTTTAAAGGTTTGTTCCTCTTCTGGGTACGCTAAAATACACATCTCGAACAGGAGGGCGCAAGGAGAGAGGCTTTTGCTGGGAGAATAGCGCAGCGCCTCAGCGGAGAGACGTGACCCGGAGTCACGTTAGCCCTGTCTGGGCTGAAAATGCTGGGTTTGGCAGGGGGCTTTTGGATACCTGGATCCTAAATGTGGGTTTCGGTACCGAGCGAGAAGGGGTGCGCCTCTCAGATCGCTTTTTTCTCCCCAGACCCAAACAGACCACGTGAGGCCACAATCCCTCTCACCCTCTCTCCCGGTTGTAGAAAGGAGGAGGGGCCCGCGCCCGAGGAGAAATTGGAGTCGGGAGGAGGGGGCTGACTTAAGGCGGGAGGAAGTACAGACCCCTCCGAGGGGAGAGGGCCGGGGAGCGGCGGGCTCGGGGGACCCGGGCCCCCAGGCCACCCCGCCCGCGCGCACGGCCCAAAGTCTAGAAATCTGGTGTGGCTTTAGAGCGGTTATAAGAAAACTAAGACAGTGTTCGGGGCGGGGGGGGGGGGCGGTATAAAAGTACCTGAGACCGAATGCCCAGGAACACTCTGTACGGTTTAAAGTGCGTCTTCGATTGCGGCGCTTTCCTTAGTTCTTCGGCGTGTGGCCATTCGGGATCCCCTCTTCGCTGCAGAAGCAGTGACTTGATCCTGTAGGTGAAATGTTGCGTAGAGAAGTTTTAATGCGTATTAGAAATCAGGGCATTTGCTAATTAAGGAGTTTTCAAAACACAAAGAGAGGTGATACGTGTTCTCCAACGGCGTTTTCTGATTGGCAAGCGGTCTTTTTTGTTCCCGGTCAAATCTTGGCCCTGCTCGCGGCACTGGGCGCTCCAGTGAGCTCTCCGGTTACTCGGGGCGAGGTCAGAATTTACCCGGGGGCCTCTCCCCTCTCTCTGGGCAGCAAAGAATACCATGAATTCCCATGCAGGGTAAGTGACAGTTTGAGAAAGGCTAAATCTGTCTCTCATTCTGTCTCTGTCTCACACACACACACACACACACACACACACACACACGCACGCACAAATACTATGCTTAAGAAAACGTTACTCCTGGCTGAGCCCTTCCTTCTGCTAGGCTCAGTTCCGGGCGCTGGACCCTGAGGGATTTCTGATCAGGTTGCGTGTTTGCAGAAGTTGCTGCCTCTGCTGCCCCCGGTGAGCTTCTTCTCCAGCAAGAAAAAACTGGTTCTGAAATCTAAGACAATTAATTGGGTTCCCTTCCATGGGAGACTTTGGCTTCCTCTGTTTTTCTTTTATTTATTTTCTGTTACTGAAGTTTACTGAGCATCCTACCTTCCACTTCACAGTTCTTTGTCCTTTTCCACTCTTGTTAATGGATCTAGAGAGCTGAATCATTTGGGCCAAGGTAGGGTGTCAGACTGCTCACATTCTCCATCCGCCCCTCAACAGGAGTCCTCATTCTCTTTTTCTTCCAAAGCATCAGCTTCCCCCTCACACCCAGGACCTTATTTGTTTTCTTTTGGGTTATCTGCTGCAAGGTACCATACAAAGGATTAATGACATTTGCTTTAAAAATATTTTATTCCTTCCTTATATATTTTTAAAGGCTCCTCTTTTTCTTTCTAAATTATTATTCTTACTACCTAACATTGGGGAGCATTGATATTGCCTTGAAAGATGTTGTTTAAAGACAATGCTACTGCTTTGCTTTGTCATTTAAAGTGTGTGTGGTAGGGGGTTGGAAATCCTTTTTTCTCTCCGTGAGCTTCTGGATATCCTCCTTTTCTAAATCAAATTTTCATGCTTATTCATCAGGCCACAGATCTAAGTCATCTTTGCTTATTGAGGGAGAAATTGCAAGCACTGTCATCAAATAAAATGAAAACCGACAGGATAAAATACTGTGTCTCAAATAAAGCTAAAACCAGTTTAGTTGATGAGCTTTTACTCCCCATATTATAGCCCCAGACAGCTCGCTGATGATGGGTAGTAGGGATAATTATTTAGAAAGAAAAAAGGAGAACCCTTTATGAAAATACAAGGGGTGAATGAAATATTTTTAAAACAGTCTATGCATAAGATGCAGGAAACCCATCCCAGATGGAAAGTATCACAGATGTGAGTCCTGAGTCCTATTGCACTGTCCCAGGCAGACAAATGCAAAAAGCATAAAAGCAAAGACTAATTTTTTTGGAGTGTTTTGGTTTTTAAAATGATTTTTCAAAACCCACTCGAGAATTATTTTGAAAAATAAGAATTTGCTGTTCGTGGGAGGAGTGTGGCAGCCTTCTATGTCTTGCCTGATACAGAATGCTATGATTTCAAGGAGCTAAGTAATAAATGGGAGTAGATCAGAAAAGCAAGTTCACAATGTAGGGGGCTAAATAGTCTGTTTTAGGCTCTATGATAAATGTAGTAACACTGGTTCACATTCTGTCCAGGATCAATTTAATTTTCTTCTCCAAGCAATTCTTTCCACTTCCAACTCCCAAAGCCACTAACTGGTATCTTCTTTGGAGAGCTAAGGGTGGAAAATTTTGTAACTGTCTGCTGCAAAACTTCCAATTGTCCCTGCCCTTTAAAACAACAAAGGCTTTTATTTCTTCACATCACAGTCATATGGTCTCACAGAAAAGTGATGGTATTCATTGGCTCCAGTTATTTAAATGCTACTTATTTTGGCCAAGTCCCAGGTTTATCTAGTTGAATTACATTCTGATGTCAGGCCAGATTTGAAAATGGCCACCTTCGTGGTGCCACAATCCTGTGGTTGTAGTGAAAACTCCAGCTGCAAGAATTACTCATGCAGGATGAGAAAGGGCAGCTTTTAGTATATACTTCCCTTTTTTGGCCTCTCTTTTACCAGACAGTTGTTTTTTTTTTTTTAAAGATTTTATTTATTTATTTGACAGAGAGAGACACAGCGAGAGAGGGAACACAAGCATGGGGAGTGGGAGAGGGAGAAGCAG